TGGCTAACTCAGGTACACCTTCCTGGTCTTTATTCAAGTGTCATCTTCTTAATAAGTTCTTTTTGACTACTCTAACTATTCAGCACCTTGCACACAGTTTTCCCCGTATCCTGGCTTCATTGTTTATTTTACCTATTTGTTTCACTCCTTTCTTTCTTCTTCTGCCCCATCAATGGGGCTGTGAAGCAGCAAATACCTATTTCTCACAGCTCTGGAAGCTGGGAAGTCAAAGTCCAAAGCTGGTGGGGATCCAGTGTCTGGGAAGGGCCTGCTCTCTGGTCACAGCTGGACATCTCCCTGTAACCTCATATGGCAGCTCTCTGGGTCTCTTTTATAAGGACTTTAATTTTTTTATGAGTCCTGTGACCTGATAACTAATTACCTCCCCAGCCCACACCTCCTGACACTCTCACCTTAGAGTTAGGATTTCAATGTATAAATTCAGAAGACACACAAACATTTCCTACTGCAGCTGGTACACTTGCCTGTTTCTGTCTGGTACACTTGCCTGTTTCTGTCTACCATGTCCCCAGCACCTGGAATACTGCTGAGAACTCACCAATATTCTCTTCAATTAAGTAACTGGATAGTATGGAAGCAAAAAGGGTATGTGATTACTAAATCAGTCCCTTGGCTGGCTTGGCACCATCCTAATCCCAGTACAATACAACATAAAGGGCAGAAAGAGACTGGTCTTGCCCCTTGCTTGATTTGCTGCCTTATGCCCACCATGATCTCTTTTGCCTCTGCCATGCCACCCTGCCTTGGAGCCAGCTGGTTATGAACTGAAACCTCTACAAACTGTGTGCTAGATAAACCTTTCCTCCTTTAACTCTGGGTATTGGGCATTTTACCTCAGCAACTAAAGATGAGTAGCTAGGACAGATACCAAGGTCAGTTCTGAGATGACAGTAAAGCATCAATAAGACAGTCAGTGAGTTACTTGAAAAAGTGATGTGGGACTCACAGAGAGATATGGGCTGAAGATGTGTCTCAGGAAACAGCCTATTGAGTGCTTACTATAAGTACAGTACAAGGCTGAGTGTGGTGGTGCATATATGTGATCTCAACCCTTGGAAGGCTGAGGCAAAATCTTCACTATGAGTTTAAGGCCAGCCTAGACTGCAAAGTGAGTTTAAGGCCAGCCTGGACTGTAGAACGAGAACCTGTCTCAAAAAAAAAAAACAAAAACAAAAACAAAAACAAAAGAAAGCACAGTACAGGGTGGGATCATTGAGGAAGACAACATAGTAGGAAAAGACTGTGAACTAAATTTTTCTCAATGCTATACTTAAAATCTTACATAAATGAACAGAAATTGTCTAAATTCTTGTGCAGTTTACTACATGTATCTGAATTTTAAACAGTGTTGTCACTGATATCCTCCACTCTTCCAGATAATGGAAATATGTTGTTAAATTGTTCCACTAATCCACTAATTATAGTGCCTGTAACTGGTGTCAGTGGTAGAAATTAATTAATATTGCTACTTACATATATTAAGGAATACTTTCAAATTAAGTCAACAACTATTTTATTCATAATATGTGTAAGACATTTAAAAAGTGCTCAAAACATACTGATTCCCTTTGCTTCCTCAAAGATCAGGAGAGATAAAGGATCCATAGCCTTGCTGTCCCCTGCAGTGTCTGACAATTTGGAGAGGAAGTGTTTGTGAGAAAGGTCCTGTTCTTTTATTCAAGCCCAGCTAGTTTCCACGCCCTTCTCTGTCACTTCTGAATTATGAATTACTTACTCTTGGTCCCATTTTTCTTACATTCCAAATAAGATCATGATAGAAATTTTACAAGGCTATTGTGCAGATTGCCAATATTCATATTTAATGTCTAACACAAACTCTTTCACAATAAAAGCTTAGAGAGATATGTTCTACAATTCACAATTTTTTCATTTACTAAGTGGGAAGGAGGGTTGGTTAAATATTACTACTATTTTTTTTTTTTTGGTTCAAGCAGTAAAAGTATCCCTGGATAGTGATACTGTCCCAGTTGCAGGCAGTCACAAATGCACAGTGTCTGGGATTTATGAGTTCAGTAAATATTTGTGACTGCTGAGTATTGTGAGGCAGAGATAGAGACAAGGGGCTACCCAAACTGCTGAGTATGTCTCCAGTGATTCAGTTCTCCCTGGAAAAAATTGTAGAGTCTGAATTAAAAGCAAAGTATTTGCTTGCACACATTTCCACTACAATCTAAGTCAAAAGTCAATCTTACAGCACACGACTGAATAGTTTACAACACAAATACTATATTATGCACAATGTCATCAGTGTCACCATAATCAGCAACATGCAGAGATTCAATTAAAAGTTGCACTGTCAAATGAGACATCAGATACTTCTTCAGCTGTTCCCACAGAGGGACAAATGATTCTCCCATAATTATGATTTGTGAGATTAAAGTAGTTTGGGTTCCATGCCCTTTATTGATTTATATGTCTCATAGTGCTTTTCAATCATCAAATTTAAGATGTTTCCAGTGAACCAAATAAAAGTTGGCTGTGAGGTCATTCCATGAGGGGATCACCAACATAGAGCATACGCTGACCCCTTGGTTTTTGTCTTTTGAGGTTTGGCCTCTAATTTAATCTGTGTTTCTCAATATTTTAATGTGGGTCAGATTTCTTCTCTGGAAATACAACTGAACCTTAATTATTCCAGGAAAACTGGTCTGCTTTTGAGCATCCCTCTAACACTGTCTCCTTCTACTCAGCAGCCACTATTATTTACTGAGCTCCAAATCCTGAATACTGGGTGTTTTGCCTGCCTGTAACTGGCACAATCACCTCATGAGCTAACAAATCAGTCAACAGAGACTCAAAAGGTTATCAACTGTTAAGTGCCAGTTTTCTCCCAATTCAGGACTCAGAAATCAGATTCACCATAATGAACCAAAACAAAATCATAAAGTTAATGGTGCATCCTTTTTCATCTTTTTAAAACTAGTATGCTTGTCTTTCTCTTTACATATTTAAATCCACCTTTATTAATGATCATGGTCAAGCAGAGTCAATTTTTGTATTCTATAACATGCCTTTTTTAAAAAGTTGAAAGTTGGCAAATTCAAATCTTGGAACCAGCACCCTGTGCCAGCCACCACTGGACTGGAACAGCCAGACACCAGCCCCTTCCAGTGCAAGAGCTAGCAAACAAGAAGTACCAATCACACACACACACACACACACACACATCATAAGCGATCAGCTCATCTGCAGAAAAACAGGCTGTGTTAATAGCTATGGAGGTGAAATGCAATTGGATGACTGAGTTGCTTTGGTGTTTCACTCAACTGCAGGACTACGGCCAGTGTTCTGATCACAGGTGCAGAGGATAGTGGTACACAGTGTGACATATAAGGGGATCTCCTTCTGAGAGTTGCAGCCATTGTTGATTCCCTATAGTCTTGTTTTGGAAGTCCTATATCATTTCCATTGTTTTGTTGGGTGAAGTTTTTTTCTCTTTTTGATTATGTCAAATCCTATAGCAGGAGCAGCTATTTCAAAGATAGCAAGATATATTATAGTAGCCATTTTGGATTTACCATTGGCTTGTTTATGCAGTATATTATTGCAGTCATTTTTTTGTTTTTGTTTCTGTTTTATTCTATTTTGTTTGATTTTCACTATATCCGAAGTTATCTGCAGCTATTTTGAAGATATTAAAAGTCATCATGGTAACTATTGTTGATTTTATAATGTTTTGTAATGTATCTCATACACTGGTTTGTTCTGATTGGTTTTATTCTGTTTTATCCCTTTAAAATAAGAAAGTTTGCAAATTCATGTCTACCTCCAGGATTTTGACAAAAATGAAATAAATTCAGACTAGAATATGGCTGTCAGAACCTGTTTTCCATCACTGTTAAACCTAATTAAATCTGGAACAAGCCTACGATCTAATATATGCAACACATATTTCTAAATATCACAGATATTTACAAAACACCTATATGTGTCAGACACTCTACAAAGTATCAGAAACATCAGCACAAAACCCACCTTTGTTGTCCAGATGCTTCCAGCCTAGAGGGTAACCTACTTAACTGGAAATATTTGTTAAATAAGGCCTAATATTGCCTCATTTTATCTTCAAATCAACCCTGTGAGGTATTATTATGACCGTTTCTCAGACTGAGTCTCAAATAAATGACAACATGAGCTCCCAAGAAAAGAACTAGAAATCATGCTCCACAGATCTGCGGGCCTTCCGGGTGTGGGTGTGTGGGTGTGTGGGTGTGTGTGGGGGTGTGTGTACCCGCAGGACTGGTATGCCTGGGAAGACAACCCTGGGGGAAAATGAGAAGGAACACAATCCTCTAGTCTAAGGACGGTTCTGATACATCTTAGGTCTTGCTGCTCTCCTGTGACCCAGCCCTTTGCCTCTGTCCTTATTGTCATTTAATAGACTGAGACTGTCACATGAGGAGCTCACCTGTCTGCCTCCCCCAGCCTCTGCTCCTTTCCCCTCCTCCACCTTCCTTTCCTGCCATGATCTGTGCAACCCTGGGAAGACAGGCTCTTACCCGGGTAACCAGTCCAGAATCTTAGAAGGTGTAGCACTAAGATAGGATAGAGTTTTGTTTTGTTTTGTTCTGCTTTGTTTCATTTGGTTGCTTGGTTCTTCTGGGGGAGCAGGTATTTATTTTTGGTTTAGTTTTTGTTTTTGTATTTGGTTTTGGTTTTGTATTTTATCCATTGGTAGGAGACAAAGCAATTCCAAGCCACAGGTCAGATTTTCTTAGTTTCCCACTTAACTAATAAATTGTTGATAGTTTTGTGGAAGAAAAACAACAGAAACAACAAGAAAACAAAAAACTTGGGAAAAGATCATCAAAGAGGGGCTTATTCTGTTCAAGATCATCTTCAAACTTTATTTCAACAATTAGAGACATGAACAAGCCAACAGACTGAAGAGGACAGATGACGTCACAGAAACTATGGACTTCTGAGTAAAATGAATCTTTTTTTGTCCTGCTCTTTAAAGGCCAGCAACAGTGTCATCTAACTCGAGATTCCTGAACCCCTGGGTAGTCTTCTTCACTGTGTTCGCGGTGGTGGGGATCCTGGCCATGATTGTAGGACTGCTCATTCACTTTTTAGCTTTTGGTAAGTATCAGAGATTATTGTTGTTACTTTTCAGACCAAATAATGAAATGCACTTCAGATTAAAAATGCAGTCTTCCCTCATTTGTTGTTCTAATTCTTTCTTTCCTCTTTTCTTTCCATCTTTCTTCTTTTTTCCTTCCTTTTCTTTCTTGCTCATTTTCTCTCACTTTCTTGCTCTCTTTCCCTTTGTCTTTTGTTTCTTGTTTTTGAGATAAAATCTTGAAAACACAATTCTCATGCCCAAGCTTGTGGATTACTGAAATTACACCTGTGGCTACTTTTGTTTCTTAATATACGATTATCTTACTTAGAGTTTTCCCTAAAAATATATTCATATTTCCTTTGAAAAATCATTTTTATATTAAAGATAGTAAAAGACAACAAAAGACAGAACAAAGCCAATCAAGACAATGCAGTGAAATTGGTACAGGACTTCAGGGCAGGACATGGGGATAACTGTAATAGTACCTTAGTGTATCTTGTTATCACAATAGTTGTCTATTCAGTCAGGTATAGCAGTCAAACTAAAACCAGAGCATTATAAAATAATAAAAAAGTATTGAATAGAGCAAAACAATTAATCAGAACAGAGCAAAACAGTGAAAACAATATTGGCCTTCAAAGACAAGACTGAAGGAAATCCTCCATACTTGCTATCTTGCATAGGGTCATCCTCCCAGGAGAGGCTCAGACTGCTGGCCCCAGGCTTGCATAATCAGCCAAACAATACAAACATCTAGTTGCTTTATGTTACATTGCTGCTAACAACTCTAGCTGTCCTCGAAATCATCCAGTTGCAGGGGGGGGGGGGTATTGTCACGTGATATTTGATTCTCAGCCCATGCACAGCTAGGCTCATGGGAGACGCTGACTTGTTCTCTCCCTGGTGCAACCGCAGCTCGCTGCTGCCACAGCTGACCTGAAAAATCATTTTATCACTTCTCTTCTTTGCGCCTTTAAAATATACTATACCAAACCTTGTTATCCAGGTTAGAACCATTGTAAATTTTTTTAAAAATCTCTTCCTAATTTTATGATGCTGATATTTGAGTTTGTTTTTTATTTGTTTTTGTTTTTTGCTAGTAGCACAATTGCCTTTTTCAGAAAATAACGATAAAATCGTAATATTGGAAACTCATTTTATCATCTCAAATTTGAATGTAAATATTTGCTAATTCATTCTCTGTTTTCTGAAAACACTCTTACATAAAGCAGAAATTTATAATTATCAATAGACAAATTTTCAGAACAGGTAATATCAAACTTATAGAAAGTTATTTTTTTACTATTTCTACCTTAAATTAAAAACTTTCTTATCTGCACCTGTTTTCAGCATGTAATAATTACATTCATCATTAGGAGTTGATGCTTAGCATATCCGAACTTCTTTTTGATCCTTTCCCACCCTTCCCTCCACTCTCTCTCTATCTCTTGGTTCCCTTTCCTTTTGCCAAAAACCTATGACCCTTCTTCTTATTATTTATTTTTTATTTTGTTCTTTATAGTTTTTTAAATTTTTACTTAAGGAGAAAAAGTAAAAAACCAAAAAAGGGTACAAGTTATACAGAATTTCAGAAAAACAGTAGGAAATCACTAGTTAATGGATTGCATATTGTCATCTTAGAAATAATTGTTCAAGTTACAAAATTAAAGCTTATAAAGTGGACATTCAAACAGTGAGACAGCAAACAGTTCTGTTCAATGATCCAACAAAACTCAGTAATATGGTTATCTATCTTATACACTTAAATATACATGCAGTTATGTCCTTTAGAGTATTTTCTTTTCATCTCTTTTGTACAATGACAATTACACATTTTGGGCTTTATTATTCCCATAGTTCTTATTACTTTTTTTTCAAGAGAGTAAAACCAAATGTGACATAACAGAACAGAGTCAGTCAAATCAAAAGGATGGACATAATGTAAAAACAAAATACAAGGTGATCAACAATGGTTACCATAATGCCTTTTGCTGTCTTAAAAATAATTGCCTATATCATCAGTTATAATAAAATTGAACAAAACAGTAAAGAACAAAACCAATAAAACCAAAACTTTGGAGACATTACAGGACTTCAAAAGAAGATAATAGTCAACCAGAATGGGCATCATAATGAATCTTATTGTCTTCACAGTTTTTGCATATACTTTTGAACTTGGTACTATCAAGCAAAACAGAATAGAGGAAAATCCAAAACAAGATGGTGAAAGCAATACAGGGTTTCAAATCAAGTTAATAGGAAATCAAAGTGGGTTATTATAATATATACTGCTATTTTTATTTATTTTCCCTTAATTAAAAGGATAAAAATGAAAAAGTAAATAATAAAAAAAGGAGATTGAGTTAAAAAAAAAAGGGCATAACAACAAAACAGCACAGGTCAAAACATAACCATTTAAGCAAAATAGTGTTTCACCACAAGATAATCCCGACATAAAAGTAGTTACCATAGTGTCTCTTTCCTTGAAATCTTTGAGTATAACTTCATATACTGTAGCATCAAATATATCAAGACAATGTAAAACCATTCAAGAGAATGGCAGGATTACAGGGTATTTAGAATCAACTAACAGAAAGTAAACAATGGTTTCTGTATTATTCCCTTGTCTATAAAAGTTTTTGTTTATATTATCACATATAAAATCCAATAAGATACAACATGTTAAGACCGATGGAGACAGAAGAACAAAAGCTTGATGGGACTTCAAAACAAGATGATATTAAATCAGCACTAGCTATTATGATGTCTTGTTTTCTCCAAAATAGCTGTTCCTACCATCCAACCTTCTCTGCCTCATTTCTGTTGAGCTCTTTTTCTGTCATTAGTTGTCAGTTTGTCTTCTTCATTTTGCTTTCTGCTCCATTCATTGTGGCCTCTCTGCCACTGTTTCTGGAATCTTGGTATTTTTCTTTTTATAATATCCTGCAGTATTCTCTGTAGAGTTGAATTGGTGGTTGCAAATTCCCCTATTTCCTCTTTATCCTGGAAGCACCTTGTTTTTCCATAAATTTCTAGGGACAGTTTGCAGGATATATCAATCTTGGCTGGAGGTTATTATCTTTCAAAGCTTGTATTATTTGCCCCCACGCTCTTTGTGATTTGATGGTTTGTGCCGAGAAATCTGCTGTAATTCTGGTGGCTGTTCCCTTGTAAGTGATCTGTTTCTTGTTTCTGACGGCTTTTAATATTTTGTTCTTATATTGGATTTCTGGAACTTTGATTATTATATGCCTGGTATAGCTCTGTTTGGGTTGTAGGTGGCTGGGGTCCTGTATGCCTCATACATCTGAGTATCTTTCCCTTTTGGTAAATTAGGGAAATTCTCCTGGATTATTTCTGTGAATAGCTTTTATAGTTCATTTGTTTGTGTCCCTACTTCTTCTTTCATGTTCTGAATTCTTAAGGTATAGATCCTCTTATTATCTTCTATCCTTTGTATTATTGCTGTTTGTTTCCTTGTTATTTTTAAGAAGTTTTTCATTTCATGCTCCCACCTTACAAATCTGTCCTCCAGTTCAGATAATCTATCCTTAGTTTCCTTCAAGCTGTTATGCCAGCTTTCAGTAGAGTTTTTAGTTTCCTGGTAATGTCTTTGAACCTGCTTCACGTATCCTGTGTTTTCTCTATTTTCTCCATCAAACAATTCTCCCCTTTTTTTCTGTTCTCCCATTACACCATCTGTTTTTTATTGGGCAGTGCTTAGCATTTCTCTAATTGTTCTACTTATATCTTGATTTATTTTGTTAAATACTTCTCTTTTGAACTCATCTATGAGGCTCTGAGACTTTAGCTGTTCCAGTGGTAGCACCGGGATTGCATTTCCAGTTGGTTTCTCTCAGCTTAGTTTGTTCTTGGGTTTGCAGGGTATATCTCCCCTTGCTTAGGACTCTTCATACTGCATCATTCCTGGATTCTAAGCTGGCAATCTCAGAGAGCCTCTGTGGCTGCTGTGATCTGTCTGCCATGTTCCCCCTTGTTCTTTATTGTTATTTTGGGTTTCTCATACAAGAGACATTGTGAAATATTTAAGCTTATGTGTTTATTTAATTTCACTTGACATTGCGGCCTCCAGGTGAATGCATTTTCCTATAAATCATTCAACTTTATATTTCTTTATGACAGAATACTATGCTATTATCTATAAATACCATAATTTTTCTTTTGTCTATTGATAGATAGATGGGCTCCTTCCAAGATTTAGCTACTATGAATTGTACTGCTATAAACATAAGCATGTATACATTATTATGGTATTGTCTTTAACCCTTTGAGGAAGGTACCTACAAGGTTGAATATAATTTATGTTTTTTTGTTTTTGAGAAATCTCCATACTAGTTTCCATAATGGTAGTACTAATTTACACTCCTACCAACAATGTAAAAGTTTCCTTTTTCCCCCACAACCTCTCTAGCATTATTTGATTTTTTGATGATGGCCATTCTTTCTGGAGTAAGATGGAATCTCAGTGTTGTAATTTGCATTTCTGTAATGGCCAGTGATGTTGAGCATTCTTTTAGGTATGTATTGACTATTTCTGTCCTTCTACTTCTGAGAAGTTTATATTTATTTCAGTTGCCCATTTTTCAATGGGGTCTTTTACTTTGGGAGTTCTAAGGGTTTTTTTAGTTCTTTATATATTCTAGATATTAGTTGTTTGAGGAATTTCTGGAAAAGTTTTTTTCTCACTGTATAGATTGTTTCTTCACTTGGTTGTTTCCTTTGTTGTGCAGAAGCTTTTGATTTTGGTATTACCCCATTTGTTGGTTCTTCACATTATTTCTGCAATTGGTGTTCGTTCAGAAAGTTCTTGCCTACCTATGCCTTCAAGAGTTGTGCTTATTCTTTCTTCCAGAATATTAAAGGTTCCTACATTAATATTTAGATCTTTGATCTTTTGGATTTTACTATAAGATAATGAGAGATATGGGTCTAGATTCATCTTCACATGTACAGCTAGTTTACACAGCACCAATTCCTAAGAGGCCATCTTTTACCC